TGTGTTACGTCATATGCTATTTCGATGGTTGGGATTCGTTGAATATCACAAGGTAAATTGTCCCAAAACCCAAAATCTTTACTTAAACTCGAATGCTGGTCAGTTTTTAAGGTTTTCCGCTCACAGTTCTGTAATATCCTTTCTGAAGCAATTAAGTCTGTTTCCTTCATTGTGAGGTTCAAGGTTGCCATGGCGATGAAGATTACTCTTATTCTTCTGGGTCCGATAAAGTTCATATTGATTCAGGATGGGGAGTTTATTTTCTCAGAAAGCTCTAAAAATAAAAATAGGAGATTCACTTCATGGGTTTGCTATGAGCTTAAAGCAGTTTGGAGTTCTGCTGTGGAGATCCAAACAGAGGAATCTAATTTCCATTCATGATTAGCTTTAGAGCGTTGCATAAACACAGATACATGACGGATATTCTCGTGAGAGTTAATTACTAATTGCAAACTGTGATACGGCTTGAAATAATGAGTGTAATTGCATGGTTAATAATAACATAAATACTGCAATAATCAAAAACTTTTTATTAGACGCTTTATAATTTGTAGAATTTACAGATTGTAATTAGTGCTATGACGTGAAGTCGAATGAGATGTGTGGACATGTAGCACGCATTGGTTCCTTTAAAGCCTGTATAACTCCTCTTTTCGCTTGAAAGTTAACAGGAACAAGATACAGAATATAAATTTGTTTTTCAAAGTAAGATTTGAGTTTTCACGGCTACGACGAACATCCTGATGATGGAGACAGCAAGGACCTATGAGGTGCTGTGAATTACTACCACGCTACACGGCGCTCTGACCCAGAAGACGGCCATCTTAATCTCAGCTTATTTTCTCTAGAGTTTCTTTTATGTATTTTTACTGAACTCAACGGTTGAGTGGTTAGCACTCCTTTAAGCTGCTTTGATTCGGGAAGTCTCTCGTTCAGTCCTATACCCGATAGCCAGCTGTCATAACTAAGGCGTTTAGTGGTTTTTCTCAGGCACTCAAGAGAAAATGCTTTGAAAATACGATAAATTAGAGCAAGACTGATTCCTTCCATAGCTTTACAGTTTCGTGTTTATTTCTCATCCTAGAATTCGGCCCCATATGTTCTGAACGCAGTCCGTAAATAATTTACAAATACAAATTACCGTTGATTGGTGCTGCTGTTCTAAATGTTTGTAGGTTTCCATCTGTTTGTGTGCCAATGTCTCAGCCTTAGGTGTACAGAAGGTAGAAGTTGCAGACTCTGAGGTGTCTCTGGAGAATGCACCACAACTGGCGAGGAATAGAGCGGTGTGGGGATGAAGTCTTTGTTTCTGGCGGCGAGAACTGAGGTCAGGCCCATTGAAACACTGCATCAGAAAATCTAATTTCCAGTGTGTTGACATTTAGTTCTGCCCTCTTTAGAAACCATGAATAGCAGTCTTTTGTTTGCAGCTGACATCTATGAGTTATATAAGGTGAAGCTTCACTTCTGTGCAGAAAATGTATTTTCCAGGGAATAATAAAGTCTCTCGCACGATTCTTATGCGTGATATATTCGATGTCGGTCCTGGATATCTCTGTGTAGATTTCAAACGATGTAAAGGTCACGTGGTTTATCGGTTCGTATTCTCGTCACCGAATTTTGTTTCGTGAATCCCCGGGTTCGAATCTCTGCCCGGAGATCGGCTGTCATGATTTCCGCGGTCTTCGTCCGCAACTCCAGAAATACGCTGGAACAGTTTCTTAAGAATATGCCGCGACTCTTAATTTTCTCATTTGTATTGTCACTGTACGTAGGTATTCTGTAATTCGATAACGTTCAGATCCATAAATTTTTCTTCAATATTTTCTTTAGATAGTGTAATTGCGTCATATTGTGAATATTATAACAATTATTTATTTTAATCCGTCTTATCAGATCACTCCTACATCTTTGGTATGTTTTATTTTTATTTCTATTTTATTGATACTTTCTAACTATAATTTATATATTTTGCATTTTATTCTCTAAATTCTTTTATAAATTCTTTCAAATTCTTTAGTGTTTCTTTCAATC